AGCATGTTCATTTGAAATTTTGCTTAAGTCTGAGCTGCTTGGATCTATATTTGTATCAGAAGAGCTGGACTCCTGGACTCAGGAGATATTTAGTGTTTATACATGTACTTTTCACCTTTATGTATAAGGTTACCTCTACTTTCCAGGGAAAAAGTAGGTTGAAAAATATACATGACTAAGATTCCTAACCTTTGACATCCTTCGCAAACAACTTAAAAATGCAGGCATAAAAGCAACCTTCTCTGATAGTTTTAACAATCAAATAAAAAACAGACAGTAATACAGTACCTGTTATTATAAAGAAGAATATCAGCTTAAATGGCCTAAAATGGCAGATGTTTTATTAAAATATTCCATCTTGTATTTTTCTGTTAAATGATCTAGAAATAAAGTACTTCTTTTGTAAACAAATAGTTCAAAATCTAAGATACTTTATATTGCTTGACTCATATGCTTTTTAAAACTGTTATATGAAATGTTTATGTTTTTCATAATTTTATATTACATCATAAGTGGTTTACTGAATAAAATTGTTTATTAAAAAAACAGGTACTGACATTTAATTGCATGTACTGCATAACACAAGGGAATAAAAAAATGCAGCATCTTTTCTTGAAATATGGACATCTACGGTAATAATGCATATATACAGTACTATACCATCTTCAAGAAAGATATAATGCATGTAATCTGTAGTACACTATAGACAAAAATAATACACAGAAGGAAAATGCAATTTGCTGGAAGGATTCTGATCCAATTGATATGAGCTATCTCTTTTTTTCCAATTACATGACACAGAATACTCCATTTATCAGGACAGCCCATAAAAACCACAAGTCAAATTGAAAAATTCAACCCCATCTGTTGTAGAGACTGATGTATCTGCCTATTATCTAGAATGAAGCTGGAATTGATAAATGTACACATTTTACCTATAGTAGTAATATACTATTTCATAGGCAAGAAAAAGGTTAACTGCTTCACTCTCTATTATTTCACATTTCCTTTAATTTAGAGAAGACTCCATCACAAAACATGTCGCTTTTTTGAGCAATCAAATGTGTAATTGTTACAATAAGGGGATAATATTTAAATACCCTTTACAGCTGTAGGATTTTGTGAGAATCCGCAGGACATATGAATATATACTGTTTATCCATATGTGATGCATGTTATGCACTCTGTACTGAATAGGAATATCTGATAAAATGGGGACTTCTCCCTGCTGGGTTATGTGTGAATTCTGACTCATTAACCCAACTGAAAAGTAAAACTATTGTGTCAGTTCCCTTTTTGGAGTGAGTAGAACAGACACAGCTTGGAGTGCTTTAAAGAAGTGTGACATTTACCTGCAGGAGCTAAAAGTATGCTGCTGAGCTGGTAAAATGAAACAAAAACCCACAGAACAATGGATGGAATATAGAAAAATATTTTCATCTATATATATTTAATTTTGAATAATGGATATCTGACAATGTTACAGTATGTCTACTTCACTTCTCCCAGTAATTCTTAAAATGTCTGTATGAATGTGTATGTGTGTACCTTTAAGCAGAGTATGACAATCATTTAATCAATTGCCAGAACATTAGATTTTTATTGCTGACAACATACAGCAAAGTAGTTCAGGTGGGTAGCTGCGTCAGCATGTGTAGGCTGCAAAGGAACAAGTAATAGGTTTATTCCATGCTTAACAGAGAAGAAAGAACACAACGTTTTGGTGGACACCCGAAGAAGGCTCCACAGCCAAAATGTTGTGCTTTCTTTTATCTCTTTTTAGCATAGAATAAGCCTATTACTTGTTCCATACAGCAAACACATCCACTCAGACCCTGCAGAGTCACCCAACCCAACTCCACTTCTTCTCATTCTAGGGTAACAAATTTATTTTCATTGAAACACAGTTGTAATCACGACAATGCTGATGTTATCTATTGGGAAAAAGTAATACCCAAGCTATGGCAAGCTATGCTAAGGTAAGCTATGGCAAGGCCAGAAGATAAATTGGTAGAGGCTCCAGAATACAGATAGGGCCTTCGGAAGACCAGGAGACCATCCAGATAGTGTTCATGACCCATGATCCATTTGACCAGATGGTTCTTAGAAAGAAGTACAAAATACCTGACACCCTCCACCACCTCAAAGAACATGGAATATTTAACAGTCCCAAAGGCTGTAAGCAGAAATTGATCAAACTTGAAGCCTGCCATCTTTGCTCTTATAAAAGAACTCCATGAATTGCACCAGTTCACTGAGCAATGGTTTTGTTGCCATGAAAAGTGATGCGCTACTTTAAAGAACACTCCTGAAGACAGGCTGACTCAATTTTACAACAGGACACAAATAAGATATAGTGGATATTTAATACATACTGTACAGTCATTTGATTTCTGAAATAAATGCACTGATTTGATAAAACATGAAGGCATGAGGAGGGTGAAGTTTAACTGACTAAAGAATTGAGAATAGTGAGTGAGGTAAAATACTCAATTTCTTATCTGGCATTTCGTTGTACTTACACAGAAGGCAATCCAACACTTAGGTGTTTTCTGTCAGTGGCATTCTGGCAATAACAGACCCAATAAACTGGTGACATTTGCAAAGAAAACACTATAAATCTATGGGAAAGCATGTGAAATTATTCAAAAGAAAACGATATGAACTTGAGCACAATATATACTTTATATATTAATTACACTATACAAACCTGCTGCATGACAGCAAGAACTAGACTTATTTCCCTGATAATTACCAGGTCACAGAAGACTCACACAATTACTACATCTCTCTGCCACATAACTGAGTTAAACAATACTGTCAGCCATCATAATGGCGATTTATTCAATGACATGCAATTGGATCTATCCAACTGAACACAGTTTATTTAGGCAAGGTTTTTGTTAAGTGTTCCTGTTATGCCCAAACTATGGTTAGGGTTTGAACAACACCTAGACATTTTGTGATGCATTTGCTGTACTTTAGGATGCACTGGAAATGCAGGAAATGTGTTGTTCCGTTATTTCCTTGAGAGAGAAACGTGGGTCAAATTTGCAGATTTTGCCTGTCGGTCAAAAATAGTTGAAATTCAAAAGTTTGAAATGACACTTTTTACATGCTAAACTCTTGTATATTTATAAACGTAAATAACTTTAGCAGTATTTGTAATGTTAACCTGTAACCTGTAAACAAAACATTCTTATTTATTCCACCATTTCAGCAACAGGTTATAAAAAAGATAAATACTGGAAAAGAGCTGGCCAGCATATAAATCTGATTATATACAGTATTTTTAATATTTATGGATTGACACTTGAATTAACCCTTTCTTATAAAAATATATGTTTTATGTTTGAGAAATATTAAACCAGTAAAATCAGTACAGTAATTAAATGTTAACTTGAATGAATGTGGGTGTATATTTGAGACTGAATATTTACAAATCAACTACTAATCTAGTTGTAGTCAGCGTATCTTAGCCCTGTTATTCATATAATTAAATCTTTAGTGATCCCTGAATAATTGGCAAGCCAGTTGTGTATCACAGGAGATTGATTCACATATATATCTTCACCTTTCTATTTGTTATTTTGCATATTTATTTATGACTTTATTATTTGTATGATTAAAATGTTATGTTTTGTCCTTTGCAATCCAAGTGTCTGTGTCAACAGAGCTCCAAAAAGATGCAACAGCTACATTTTTACTAAAAGGGAACAAGTAAGGGCATTATTGTATCCTACTGATGTTGTAATTCAGTCCTTGGCAGTGTGTAGCACACTAATAGGATCCATTAAATTAATCTATAAAAGTGTTTTTCAAAGTCTAAACTAAACTACCTACTTCTGCCTACATTCAAAAGCTACCAATTGTCAATCTTTAGCAAACATAAGATCTATCAATATATATCCACCTGGTAATCAAGAATAAGCATAAATCAAATACTGTATAACTCTGCCCAACACAAGCATTAATTTACAAGTAGGGCCCACTGCTATTGGTCAAAAAATATCTCTGCCCTGCCAAATCTTTATTTCTCTATTCACAAGGACTGAAGTCCATGAAAGGCCATCATAATTAACAGTAATTGTTAGCATTTGCATAGCATTTTTCATCCTGAAAGATCCCAAAGTGTTTCAAATAGAGGAAGAGGACCCACTTCATCCACCTCTGAAGTGCAGCACCCAACTGGCTGCAATAGCACTTACAGTTTATAAACACCATTAAAATAAACTGAAACAAAATCAAAAGCCTTACAGACAAATATAAATGTATGACCGTTTCACATAATTACTGAAAAAAGAAAAAAAATCAGGGCATAATTTGAATCTCAGTGATATTGCAGCAGCAACAAATCATTTTAAATATGAAAGAGTGTTAGAAACTGTTAATTATATAGTAATATTATAATTACAACAACTGTTAGATTTCTAAGGACACAAAAATTGCTCTAGTTTTCCACAATTTCCTAACCCTTCTTTCAGGCCCTTGGTCATAAATGTTTTCTGGAATAGTATGAGAATGCCCCCTATAGCAGGCTGTGTGTTTTCATATAGATTTGAATCACTTGAGGTTAACTTGAAGGTGGTATGAGATGTTTCGGCTCCCAGGCAAAATAGAGTGTTAACACCACTAGAGTTTTGTATCTACATAAAAGTACAAAACCCAAGAGCTTCTAAGGGAAGAGAATGGAAAAAAAAGTATTTAAAATGGTGTGGTTCTTGATTATAAAAGAAGAAAAATATTTGTATCCAAAAAAGCTCAAGAATATTAAATATTATCATGCCATTATCAAAGCATGGTGACACTGTTGTTTTTATATCACAGGTGTCTTCTACCAGCACCATGGCAAACATCTGTTTTTCTTCTGTTTCTGCTTTGGAACAGAATTTAAGAAGTGGCTCTGTTTTCCTTATTTATAGGGGCATAAATCTGAAGATAACTTACCTGTAAAAGTAAGAGCAGCCCCTCACTGTGTTGTGTGTGAAGTGTTCTTGCGTCTTTTCATTGCCAAAGTCCTCCAGTGGGTCAGACCACAAGAGGTCACACATAGGTCCGTATGCTGGAGGCTCTTTGAACCTATCTAACTGAAGAATAGATCAGAAAAAAGGTGTAAGGGAATGAATAATTAATTCCATTTTAAAAGAGCTGATTATTGACAGTTTTGCAATTCTGTGAGAGAGGGTTTTTGTGAGTTTAGTGAAAACTGAATTTTTCACACCTTGCAGAAACTGAAGTGACATGGATATTCTTATGACATAAGAACAAAAAAGAACCTGCTACGTGCATGAAAACACATGCAATATGATAGACAGTTTATTAAATCTACAGATCTGTCAGTGAAACAACCCAAACATTTTCCACAAGAAAGGAAAAATACAGGAATTTACAGTAACTGATCCTTTACAGAGACATAAATGGGTTGTGATGGACCAGAGGGTCTATTTGCATTCCTATATGTTCTCATATTCTTGATCCTAACACATACAACACATTAAAATAATGGAACAGGAAAAAACTTTTTCTTTGTGACCACATTCCTATAAAAAAGGATGGTTTATATGTGGGAAAAGGCAGGACAACTACATGGGAAATACACTTAATTCTACAGATGCTGTGCCTGTCTTTAGAAAGACAAAGGCAATACACTTGCAAATAGGCAGAAAAGAACAGTGAAAACAAGGCATTGAATAAATGCCACAACACATAATGCAGTATAGAATTATAGCAATGCACCAGTGTAGAAAGCTAAGACCATTGTTTTATCAGGGATGTGCAACAATTCCACTCTTGTACAGTACATCACGACTCAGCTTGACTTGCTGTTATGCAATGCTGCCAACATCCAATAAAGAGCTGAGGTATCGCACTGTTTTTTTTACATAATTGCCATTAAGAGCGACTATTAAAGCAGCAGTCAAATTACTTTCTACTAAGTACCTACAGCCAACCTTTTCTGCATGTCATTTAATTTCCCCACAGATGCAAGAAAAACAGTGTGACATTCCACCCAGCACATATCATAGCTCCAATTTTATCATTACTGTAAAAAGATCAAATAAAATTAACCACTTCAACACAGTCTTCCCCTTCCCCTAATCACAGCTGCAGTTGGCTTTGTTAGCAGAACCTCTGGTGCCATTCACTAGATTTTAAAATCCTAAGTTCTTTTAGTTCAAAATTAAGTTTGACAATGATAAAAAACAAACAACTTCAAAATGAAAGCATGAGAATGAAGATGTTTATAAATCAAACAGACGATTAAAAAAGAGCACTGCTGTCAGCTCAATAAACACAAAGCACAGCCTTTCCTGTCTTACACTGCAGTCCCATTGGACACAACTCCTCATTCCAAATAGTCACTGCTACTCTGAAGTCTCTACCCTCAATCTCAAATGTCAATATAATAGTGTCACTGCTTGCTGGAACTACATGATCTAAACCAAAATTTTCTAAATTCAAAAACTGAAAATGCTGACCGGGCCTGGAAGGCACATACTGTACATTTGAAGGAATGTTCTGCCAGGAGGATCTCCACAGGTCAATATAAATATATGTCAACCAAATGCAAACTCACTGTGGCACATGCACAAGTACAAGCTCAGAGAAGGGAAATCAAATTCCAGACAATGCAAATTATCAGAAAAAAAGGAAAAGAGAAATACTTGTGATTCGGCAATCAGAATGCAGCTTCCAACTCAATGTAGATAGAGGGAAATAATATTGGTCAAATGAATTACAAAACCCATATAAACACAACTAGGTCTATGGTAAATTTCTATGGATCTAAAAATGTACTTGTTGTATCTTTAATTCCTCTTTATTAAATTAAAATTATTGGACATGTTAAAACAGCCTATTTATGGCCTTTAATTAGAACAGCCTAAACTCTTGTTGTCTTGCTTCCAATGTATTTATTTCAATGGATTGAGGCTGAAAGAGGGGAAGCAAAAGGTCAAAAGGCATGTATTTTAAAACAGATTTAAAAAGTCATTTTAGGACAATGATTAAACAAGCAACAACTGTACTAGTCAATACAGAATCTTTTGCACAGAAGATTTTCACAAGCATCTAAATTTTCACTTTTGAATCTGTGAATCACAAACGGTTCCTGTGGCCTTTGCATTCAATGTGCAGCAGAAACTAGCAGTCAGCCTTGTTAAAAACACAAAAGGTAAGTGGATATTGTAAAACGTCCTTCAGCGATATCTTATGTTTTAAGCCTATAATGAAAACATAATGATTTGAAGTTTATGGGCACTGTTTTTAATTAAACAGATAAACTGCTGTTCTGACAAACACTATTGTCATCTAATTAATTTAACCTGGGGACCTACATGTATCTGCACCCATGGCTATATAAGGCATTGATACTGTTATAGCAAAATTAGTATTAGGACATGGTAGAAATGCTAAAGGGTGTATACTTACTTTTCTGATGTCGTCTAGAGTATTGATTTCAGGAGACAAGCCTCCATGTACACAGAGAAACTGCTGGTTCATCAGGGCAGCCAAGGGAAGGCAGTCAAAGGCATCCATACATGAGTCGTATACTCTCTCTGAATACTTAATTTTACCTTATGAGAAATAGGACACAACAACACAAACAATTTAAGGCATAGACAAAACATCAAATTCCACCTTAATTTACAAATGTGGTTTGCCTTTCTTATTAGCTGTTATTTACTATTTATTTATTTAAAATGTTAGCAAACAAAGATTAACACGCAAGTATTAAGGCTTTTTTATAAATTTGAACTTCACAATATAAAAGTACATCCTCTTTAATGAGATGTTCAGATGCTTCAGGAAGCAGATCCGAATTCAATAAGTTGTTCCTCATAAATCCCTATGTTAGAATGTGTGTTCATCCAATTGTTTTTCAAAGTATGACTAATGTAAAGACAACATTTGTATTGTCTTGCATTAAAGTGTTGTGGTAATTCTGTCTGAGTTATACATATCAGTATATTTCAGAAGAGACATGGGACTGAAACTTCTATTTCTGTAACTGAAAAACTCATGAGTTAACCTGACAGGCTAAAAGAACTTACTCTTTTTAGTCTTGAAAATAGATAACTATGAGGCCCCCTGACAGAAATTTTCAAAAATTCTCAAATGCATTGACACAGTGAACCCACCTGACTTAAGAGCATATAAGCGGAAACTACAGAGAAATATATATAAAACATAGAACAGGAGGCATTTTTTAAGAAAAGAGGCTGTAGGAGTCTAGAACAAGCCAATTACCCATGCTGCCAAATTAATACCTTGGCTTCTTCCAACAAATGGCTGCTTGAGATCCTTGCATCACTAACTCTCCTCTAGTCTTATGTTCATTTGTGTTGCTAAAGAAGGCTCTATTATACTGTACATGAAGTAAGCGCATTTGGAACCTTAAACAAGTACCATGTCTTTAGACAGCAAGCTGTTGGTGTTTAAGTAAACTAGAAAACTGCAGTGTGTTGTAGAAACTGATCCACTAGGATACTCCAAGCAGTAGACTGATGAGATCCTTCATCAAATCATAACAGCCAAGACAACAAGGTTAGACAAATGGCTTGTTCATAACATTTGTAAGTGTATATGACCTTCCTGATTAACTGATTGATATGGTTATTTATTGATGGCTCCTTTGGGGTTTGTTCCTGTGGCGCACTATAATTCACAAATTGGTAACAACCATTACAATACACATCAGATGTCCCTAAAATTACAAGTTCTGATCAGACAATTTCAAGACATTGATGTAGAAATTTGCATAATTCTAAACTTGGGAGATGAAAAAGCTAACCTTCCCCAGTTAACCTTCATTTAGATGAGATGTACCTATAACTTTTTTCAAAAAGCTGGAGAAATGACGATACCATTGTAACTAAGTGCAGGGTCGTGTAGGTTGTGTACTGTAGATTCCAATCACAAATCACTAACCTCTGACATTTCTGACACAGATTAAACAGGGTCACATAGTTAATACTATTGGAAAAGCATTAGGAGGAAGGGGTCAAATTTAAATTAAAGGAAGATGTCAATGTTCACAGAAACATATTAGCATTGCAAATATATGGTATTATAGAGCAATAAACAATTTGTTATCTCTAAAATGATTTTCGAATTCTAATGGAATATATTTGGTAAATTAAACAAACTTTTTACAATTAGACATACTATATACCCTTTACTACAGATCAACTTTTTCTATAACTATTATGTCAGTATTAAAAATATATTTAATACAACATTACTTGGAACATTACAGGAAGTATGGGACTGAAAGTAGAATTTCAAGCAATTTCAGATTAAGAAAAAAATCACAAATGAGCAATCTAACCTGCTGGTGGTTTGTTATGAAAACTGGAATGAGAATGCTGAGTGAACTAAAATGGTCAATAAAAATGTTGATGGATTTAAAGATGCTCAATACTATGTAATGAGTACTACCTGGGTGTAATGATGTTGATATGACAAAACACCTCCTCAGAAAGAAACAGTACAGAATATCTGGTCTCAATACTGGTGGAATGCTGTTGGTTGTAATACAAATTGGAATACAAATACAATTGGAGAAGTACAATACAAACACAATTTGGAATTGATGTTCAAATTAGCTCCCCCATGAAATAAAAAAATGGATGCATACTGTATTTGCACTATGCAACATAAAACTCTTCAGCGAATCTAATTTATACAACGCATTACATCCCAGTATGTGGTCCATGTGTCCATGCCATCTTCTCAGCCAATCAGAGTGTAGCTTATTTAGTATATAAGTAAGAGGTTTACTGAATGAAGGGACCTTTCGTTTGACTTTGGTCCCGCTTGGCTTAGCTTCGGTTTCGTTTGTGTGTGTTTTCGTACAGCTTCTGCTTTTGTTGGTTGGTGTTTTTCTCGTACTTTTGTCTGTATGTGTTTATTGTTTATTTTGCCATGACCTTGCCCTAACGTGTATATATACATGTATATATCAACCTCTGTGTTCTTCTGTACCCTGTTCCCATTGTCTACTCTCGTTATCCCCTTATTTGTATTCCTTGTTCACTTGTGTATTTATATGAGCTTTTGTGTATAGGGTTAATGTTAGGTACATTCTGCACAAGTAGCTGATCTCTGTATTAGTAACACTAGTTTAGGACGGGTAAGTGCCGTTTATCTTGTATGGTTTTGGGTAGTCAGTGAAGGTTAGTTAGAGAGTTTGAAGACTTGTTTCGGGTTTTCTTTTGTAGTTAGGTCAGCTTTCCCTCACTTTCGTAGCCAGCTCCATTTTGTTTATTTTCTTTTCTTTGGCTCCACTCTTGTTCCCTCTCCCTGTGTGTTATTGTGTCCTATATTACGTACCAGTCACCTATTCACCTTAAAATAATCACTTTTGCACTAACACTTATCATGCTTCCTAGCCCCTCACCAGAACCCACCTGCATCCAAAAATTATCCTAAATGTTACACCCCTTTACACCTAGACACGTGGGGTTGTAACACAATGTTACAGTATTTTTTAAAGTAAAAGGGTTGTGACAGTCTGTTACGACCCCAAGTGTCTAGGGGTACAGGGGTGTAACATTTAGGATAATTCTTTTGGAAGCAGGTGGGTTCTGGTGAGGGACTAGGAAGCGTGATAACAAAAGTGGGTGCAAAAGTTTTAAATTGAATAAGTGGCTTGTAAGACACGATAACACACAGGGTAAGGAACTAGAGTGGTGCCAAAGAAAACAAAATAACAAACAAAATGGAGCTGGCTATGAAGGTGAGGGAAAGCTAACCTGACTACAAAAGAAAACCCGAAACACATGTTGTTCGTGTCTTCTACACCCTAGCTAACCTTCACTGACTTCCCAAAACCATACAAGACAAACGGCACTCACTTGTACTAAACTAGTGTTACTAATACAAAATCAACTTAGTGTGTAGAATGTGCCCAACAACCTAAACAAGAGTAATCAACAGGAACAGGGTACAAAAGAACACAAAGGTTGAACAAGTAACACGTTAGGGCAAGGTAATGGCAAAACAAGGATAAACACAAACAAACAAAAGTACAAAGAAACGAACAGAAACCAACAAAACAACAAAGCAGAAGCTTTACGAAAATACACACACACACAATGCAAAACAACAAACCAACAAAGCTGAAGCAAAAGCTAAATGAAGCGATAACCAAAGCGAAATGAAACAAAGCAAAACCAAACGGGACCGAAGTCAAACGAAAGGCCTCTTTTTCCTGAAAACCTGCATGTTATATAGTGAATAAGATGCAGTCTGATTGGCTGAGAGGCTGATTGAATATGACGTCATACAGAACAGTGGCGTAATGGTGGGCCAATGGGGAAGGGAGAAAAATTAAAGGTCAGCAGTGTGGAACATAACAAAAAACAACACACACAGACCACACACAGACCACACACTGGGACATAACACAGTCTTTTACAACAACAAAAAAATATTCTACATAAAAGCTCTATTTTTACCTTAAAGTAAATTGCTGCTCTGTTTTCCAAAATTATTTTTATTTGAACATTAGAATCATGCAGACCTATAGTTTAACAAAGATATATGACATTGTTTTTAATATGATTATGTTTTATATTTTTGAAATGTGCTCCAATTAATTCTAAATGATACTTACATTCTTGCTTAAATGTGAAATACTCTGTTAAATGTCTACATTCATGGTTCCCACGAAGCAAAAACAGTGTTTTGGGATAAAGAATTTTTAAGGCCCATAAGTACAGCACACACTGAAAGGAAAAAGACAAAGACAGTTATAAAAAGGTAATTAACCAGCAAAGCAGCTACTTGTTCACACTAATATTCATTTTAAGTTTTACACATCTGTCTAAATCCAAACGTTTGGCATATTTTCATGCCGTAATTACAAAAAAGTTAATAAATCAACAAACAAGAAAAAAAAAACAATATTAACTAAATAACTTTTAAGGAGACAAAGTTCAAGTCCTTTAAATAACCAACTATGATAAGATAATTCTGTAGTATAGTTCTTAAGTCAGATTAAAAATTTTTAAAGGAAATATTGTTATTAAACTCAATGCCAAACAAAACTGCAATCAAATAGTCACAATTTCTATTTTTGTTAGTCTTTTAGGTAATGAGGGAATACTTAACTTAATAGTCAAATTGTATATTGAAGAGGAGTGACTGAATCACGTCAAAGAACCAATCATTCAAAAGTGGGTCATCTCTTTTTAGAAAATAAGTTTCCTAACAACATTTTTGACTCTGCACCTAAACTTCACTGAACCAGACAAGGTCTATATACTTTGAATAATGAAAATTCATAGTGCATGTTGGGGTTCAAGACTTTTTTTAAAAAGTAAAAAAAAAAACTTACTTCAATACTGAAATATCCTCTGTCCACATAATCCCCTAAAAAAAGATAACGTGTGCTGGCTGGAGAGCCTCCCACCTCGAAGAGCTTCATTAAGTCAAAGAACTGCCCATGAATATCCCCGCAAACTAGAAGAAAAGGGAAAAATGATGGCAATGTTATTGCAATGTTATTGCTTTTATGAGCGGCAGTCAATTGCACACTTGAATAGAATGGATATCCAATGTTTTGCATGAATTGCTATGAAATCATTTTTAAAGGAGTTTTAGCCCCAGAACGAACATTTCGAGTGTTGTACACTCATCTCAACACTCTGCGTGTCTTTTAACTTTGCTAGCGGACAACAATGCTGATATTCACAGCTAATGGCATTCAGTTGTACTGACCAACGGAACACAAACACTAAATCAGAACTCCAGGCTTGTTTTACTTATGATGTGACCCAGAGCTAAAACAAGAAAACTGGAAAGTATGAAGTGAAACCAATACCTTGTCCCTTGTCATATCTTGCATCTGTGCAAGAAATCAGATGCTTTTACTTAAGTTTTGTCCATTCTGATAAAGTATTCTGATGTTTAACACAATCTCTATTTCCGTCACGATAGACCTTTAAACATTTAGATTTGAAAGAACACACAAAACACTTATTACTAAAATATATTATAATATATTGCAATGAAAATTAATTTAGGTGATTTTATGAACATCAAAGGTATGCTGAAAACTTTTTTTTTTACAAAAAAAATCACAGGTAGAAGAAATGTTCATTTTTTCTTAAAGCTTGGTTTTGTAGTTGCAGAAGTATATACTGTACCTGGTACTAGTCTTACATGTTTTTACACTAAATACTGTTTACCATGAAAAAACGATATTATAACAGCACCACTGCCATGAACTGTAGAAACATTTTCCTTTTCCTTCATGCTAATACCCTGATGTGCCGTGCAAAGGAAGGACATGCTATGCGGGGCAAGAGGAATCATGTGCTCACAGCTCACCTACTTTATGCTTCTAGGTTGGATTCAGAGTTAAAGTGAACCTTCACCAGGACAAATGACTTTCTTCTAATGAACAGGTGTATAATATCGCAATGCAAACAGTATAATGAGTTTAGCTGTCTAGTTTTTTTTTCATTTGCCATTTTTTTGTTAGATTCATTATCACTTCATATTATTTGTTTCCTCTCTTTAAATGGCTGGCAAGTACTAGTTGAAGGCATATAATCCTTTGTAAACCAGACTTCCATCTGATCAATGGCGTATTCTCCTGGTAGACATTTAGAATAATTTTTTTGCATTGTAAAATATCCATCCATCCATTTTCTAACAGCTGCTTCCATTTTAGGGTTGCAGGGAAGCCAAAGCCTATCCTGGCAAGCAATGGGCACAAGGCAGGATGAATCCTGTTTGGGACACCAGTCCATTGCAAGGCAGACACACAGACACAAACACAAACACTCACACCAGGGCCAATTTTTTACAAGTCAATTCACCTACCAGTATACTGTATCTTTGGACTTTGGGAGGAAACCAGAGCACCTGGAGGAAACCCACAAGAACGAGAGAATATACAAACTCCATGCACATATCAGCCCAGGAATTGAACTCAGGGCCCCTGTGCTTTGAGACGGCAACGTTTACCACTGTGCTAACATTCCAACTATATTGGAATATTTATTTAAGTGCTTTTAAAGCTCGACTGCAAAACTGGTGTTTTTCAGGTGCTTTTTTGTACACTCCAAACACTACCCCAAACAATTTATAATAGTGTTTTACTACAGTTTACTGGTTATATTAAAAGCCCCATAAGTATGCATAAGTACGAACAACAACTTGGTTTAGTTTGGACTAGTTTAAAACCACAAAAATAATTTTATTCACGCTCTTGTTCAAATTAAAATCTTTATGTGAGAAAAAAGCAAGAATGATGCTCCCTGGTGTCCAACTCTTGGTTTACCATAGTTTTTCAACAGTTATCTACTTGGAAGTCTGGTACTGAAAGTGTTTTTTAAGAAATATATACCCCAAATTCAACTCTGCTTCTTTCTCCCTATCCACAGTGAAAGCTAACTCCAGTGCAGTGAAGCAGAATATTTTAATGAAGTGCAAAAGGCCAAAAAAAGGAAAAAGCTGTGCTTCTGCCATTCTCCTTACACAGAGACAGTGAAAACAATCACAAAATTGTTACAAAATTACTGTTACTGTGATAATCTAAAAGACTAGAATACCACCATCCCAGGGTCTCTGTACTAATTAAAAATATTTTGCCTTTAATAAAGAATATTATGTGCTCAAAACATTTACAGAAAATTTAAAATGAAAATTTAATTAGCCACTAGGGCAGAGTTGTGCCATGATTTCTCAGTAGACTTTACTTGCTGGCCTATCTTTAAAAAAAGGTTTGTTTTTTTGTCACAATTATTTAAAAAAAAGGCCCATTGAAGTCCTGTCCAGAGAATGTAAAAGCCAGATTAGGAGTGATACATGGTTTCTTCCAAACCCATCTATCGCTGCTAGGTTATAACTAGGCTCCTAGACACTATCCATACTTTGCATGCCACTGTCTTACATACATTTAAATTGGAGTGCACATAAATATATTACTTTGATTCAACACCATTTTTGCAATATTATATTAGCAGATTCACACAGGGTAGAAGATACTCAATATTTCAGTCAACGCATTACTAATAAGACATGGTTGTCAATTCCAGGTTTTGATCCGAACAAGGCTTATTTATTTAGAAACTTACTCAATGTTACAACTCTCTCATTTCTTAGGTTTTTAAATCAGAAAATGTTTTGTAACACTAGTTGAAAAACAATATAGATATAAAGCAAAAAACACGTTTAGCACCTACTATAACATATAAAGGCTAATTATGATTTTCTGAAAAATCGCTAATTTGTCTGGATAACAAAAATGAAAAAAAAAATTGAAGACTCTTGAAAAACTGATGAATTATTTATTTCTATTTGGGTCTGCCAGATAAAAAAGGTATCTTCTTTTTCAGATTGAAAAGGAGCAGTGAAGGCCTTTTATGTCATGCATGGCCTGAATGGTGGGACAGTGTATCTCTAGGCAAAATGGATCAAGCATAAGACTACTCAATATTTAATGTAACTGTTGTTTCAGCTAATATATTATTAATTTTGTCAATGAAATTTAATTCATAGGAGTTGCTTTTATGGTCATATAATCTGTAGTGTTGTTCTGTGTTGTCCTGTTCTGGTTATATTGCTTAATTTTGTACCGCATCACACTATAATTTTAAAATCTTATTTGTATAAATAAATGTACATACTGGAAATCTTATTTTACTCAAAATGCTTACAATAAAGAGCATAAATACTGATGTGTTCAAGGGTTGGATTAAATCTAAACACAATAGGCTAATGGAAAAATTTGACGTTCTTGTATGATAAAAAAAGGTAATCTTTAAACATAACAAATAATTTACAATTGAATGGTTGGGAATGTAACCATACATTTAAGTTCAACAGTACTGATCAAATCCGAGACAATTCTAGTAGTGGTTTGCTCTTTGTGCAAGGTCATCATGAGTTTACACATTGTGCGAGTGACACAAGACTCAGCTGTGATGAGCAGATGTTTAAATATGAGCAGAGGCATTGCCTGTTCAATGCTCTCCAGACTTCCAGCAGGTTGATGTGATGGAACTGCTCATTCTTTTTCCAATCTGGCTGGTTAACTTGGGTTCTATTGGTTTCTGGGGGTACAGGTTGCACGACATTGGATGGTATGATTAAGGACTATGAGGATGTGATTGTGGCCTCTGGATGTCTTTGGCAGGGAACTGCCTAAATCTATGTGCACACAGGTTTGGGTCTAGCCAGGTGAGATTACATTCTCATATGTACAAACACAGCTGTATTACTCTACCCTGTTTCTTATCTCCCTTAAGCACTCTCCAAACAGGTAGCTATGGACCTGTTGTATCACGATATTTTCATGTTTCTGGGGATCTACAAGTTGGTAGCCTTCCCCACCATTAATTGCATACAGAAAGTCAATATTCATTAAGAAAGAGATGGTACATTTTCCTAAACCCATCAACTGGCATCTTATTTATAACCTGAGCCCTAATATATCTCAAAGTGAGATCCTCAAGTTGGTCGCTTGAGGTTTCAAGCGAGGAGTCACTCTCCCAGTCCTCTTACAGTTCTTGCCAGACTGGTAGGTTGAGTGAGACTGAGCGTCCAGCTTCCTCTGCTTTCCAGGATTCATGGAAAAAGCTGCTTAAGTGTATAGTGTCACACTGTTTCTCTGTTTTAGTGCACACTTCCTCTGTTTTGGCCTGTTTTCCTTTGGTCCTGACTATAGTTTACTGGGAGCTCCAAAGTTATTTGGCTGGCACCACTAACTCCTGGATTTCAAGGTAGCTATTACAAAGACCCTGAGTTTTAAAGGAATGATCAGGTTCTGGGCCATTTCTCTCTTTTGCGCATGAGGTTTCCAACAAGGATTGGAAGTCTGGAAATTTGTCTAATCATCATGGAGTGACGTACAATAGTTATCACCCCCTCACTAAATCTACTGGGCTTAATCCAGAAGATCTACCTGGCCATGGTTTACTTCCATTGACTGCTGGTAAAGCCCGTTAGTTAAGTAGCAAGATCTCTCCAATCAGGATCACTGCACTGGCCAGGTCCACAAGAACTTGAATTTTCCTTCCATTTACTTGGATGGTCACCTAAAATGTCTTAGTTGGGTTGTTTCAGTGACTAAGAGAAGAGCCCTGGTGTTCATTAAAAGGCACCCCCAAAACTAACAAATTGTGCCCTAGCAAAGGTTGTCTTTGGAGAGGGAGAGGGTTTCCTTGCTGCTTTAACTTAATTTAAATTTCTGGGGAATGCTTCCCCTATTCTGAAATAAAGGGTCAGTCACCATTTAAGGTAGGTAGAGTGATGGGGAGTCCTGTTGAAATGCACAGTGAGATGGTGCTATAGTGGACTGTCAGTAGGACCTATTTCAAAGGCGTTCAGCCAACTAAATTGATTATAGTCACTCAATGCAAGATTACTGTTTGGTTGGGTTAAGTGCGGGGAGGACTCACTAAGAATGAGAAGGCTGATCACAGAACTCACCCTGTGCTCAGATACCATTA